ATGACAATTTCAGCTGTTCAGTCGTACCATTAATCTGATTCCCCAGGGATTCCTTTTGGTTTACTATCTTGGTATATGTTTTAAGCGCAGGGGAAAGGGAGGAGGCAGAGGAGTACAATTCTAGGTTTGTGCTTGACTTTTCCAAAACTAAGAGCCTCCCCTCCACTGGCCAAGGGATGAATGAAAGTTAATTCACCAGCTACTAAGTATTATCTAGTCCCATTCTACATTCTGGGAGTGGGGTAAAAACCCCAGGATGGGAGGCAGCATTCCACACTACCCACTGATGACTCAATCCAAGATAGCATCTGACTTCCGTAAGCTCCTGTTTTGATCATAGTCAATGGCCTCAGGTTTCCATGCGGAAGAACTGAGGCACAATTTACAGTGTATACCTGTAGCCTAGTTGTAATGCTTTTCAGTGAGCTGCAATTTGCAAGGTGGCTTGAAGGACAAAATGCAAGAAGTGTTACTTTTAAACTAGATAGTTTGTAAGAGTTTAGAATACAATTCCAGTAATAAGTTTTATGTTATGGATACTTGCCCTTCTAAAATTATAGCCAATATGATTTCCTCTTGGAGATTTTTCTTGTCATGTGTAGTTTTGATGAGACAGTTGACTAAGGTGCCAAGGGACAGAAATGTAACCTCAACTAAGCCAACTGGACCCTCTCTTCAGGTTTTTGACTCCAGAATAATGCCCAAAAGAAATAAAGGGGGCTTCCCTGGTGGCACAGTGGTTGAGAATCCGCCTGCCAACGCAGAGGACACGGGTTCGAGCCCTGGTCTGGGAAGATCCCACGTGCCGCAGAGCAACAAAGCCCGTGCGCCACAACTACTGAGCCTGCGCTCTAGAGCCCGCGAGCCACAACCACTGAAGCCTGTGCGCCTAGAGCCCGTGCTCTGCAACGAGAAGCCACCACAATAAGCCTGCACACCGCAACGAAGAATAGCCACTGCTCAACGCAACTAAAGAAAGCCAGCGCAACGAAGACCCAATGCAGCCATAAATAAATAAATTTATTAAAAAAAGAAATAAAGAGGACTGTCTCTCAGCTCCTCCATTGATAACTGTGAAGATGCCCTGGTTTCTTCATCTTACAAACCTAGTCTTTTTCTTCTAGCCTGTGAAGCACTCAATTATGCTCCAGTAATTATCTCTTCTGCTTTAGTTAGCTTGAGTCAGTCTCCTACATGCAACCAAAAAACTAACTGAAACAGGTAGGAATTGGGGCAGCTCTGTGATCTTGGCAGGAGTCCATGAACGTTTTCCAAAGCTTAGTGCTTTACCTTAGTGTATCTGTGTCATTTGATTCAAATTCTCTAAAAAGAAATGATTGGAGGAATTCCCTGGCAGTCCAGTGGTTAGGACGCTTTGCTCTCACTGCCAAGTACCCAGGTTCCATCCCTGGTTGGGGAGCTAAGATCCTGCATGCCACAAGGCACGGCCAAAAAATATATATATATGATTGGTTCCATTTACTCTATCATTTGTCCATCCCTTTTCAATAGTGCTTGGGGAAATTCTTTTATGATTCATGTGCAAAAGCAGCCAAACCATAACTTACTTTCTCCACAGCCTGGAGTAAGCTAAAGAAAGACTAATCTACAATTAGAATAAAATACTAGGTGAAACACCTGGAAAAGTTATTATTTCTTGATCCTTAGCAAAAATATCCTAGAACGTAACCCTTGACATATCCACATGACAACTTCACAGATAAAACCACAAGCAGATGGGATGGAGCAGAGTGAAACAAACCTTCTCCTTACAAAGAACAGCACAAAAGCCCAAAGAATTTTAGCTGTAGAGTACTCCGGATTATGGGTATGTCATATGGTGTTATGTGCGCACGCGCACACACACACACACACACACACACACACACGGCATATTAGCTTCCTGTATCAAAAAATCTTGCTTTAGCTCTCCTTTTCCCTGGGATCAAAAATGTACTTTATAAAAGCTTCTCAGCCCAAACCTCACATCTCTTCCTCCTTCCCCAACATCGTAACTCATCCTCTTGTCAAAGGCAGTTTCCCTCCTGATTCCACCTCCTTTCTACTGAAATACAGCACCACCATCTCCAAACTTAGCACTCTTTC